CCAGATTACACAAATTGGGGCGGAGAGGGGGTGACACATCTATTTTTTATAGTTCCACACACACCATCCTGCCAGAGACACATCTGTGCAAAGACAAATGCCAAGTCCAACAGTGAACTCACCCTTCCCCTCCCAGTAGACACACAGTGACACCAGGACCTCTCATGAGTCAGAGCTTTCCCCAGCTGGCAGGCACAGTGCCCTTCACCTCTGCCTTCATGGGGTTACCACACTTCCTTCCACCCCCCTGCTCCCCACAACCCTTCCTGTCTGCACTCTTGTCTGAATGCTGACTGAAAGGATGGCAGTGCTCATGGCCATAGCACACAGAAAGTGGCCTCCAAGTGGCAGGCACAATGACTGCTTTATCTCTTGGCTGGCTCCTGCAGCGTGCTATACACACTGGATAAAGGACTGGCATCACCTTCACCTTTACCTGCCCCAAGAGGTAGATAACTGATCGTTGATTTTTGTTTGTTTTTTTGTTTTAGATAATACTCTGTTATGTTATCTTGACTGGGCTGGCACTCGCTAAGTAACCCAGGCTCTCCTCAAACTCATAGCAACCCACCTACCCCAGCTACTCCAGGGTTAGGGTCACAGGCGTGTGCCACCATGCCTCTAAAATAACTGTGTTTTACAAATACAGAAACTGTTTCCCAAGATCATGTCGTTTGCAAAAGAGCCAGGCACAGGTCCTCTGAATGAGCAGTATATGCTTTTAACCACTGAGCCATCTCTCCAGCCATGAGAAGTTTTTTCTTCTTTCTTGTTTTTGTTTTCTGAGACAGGGTTTTACTCTGTAGCTTTGGAGCCTGTCCTGGAACTTGCTGTGTAGACCAGACTGGCCTTGAACTCACAGAGTTGCCTGTGCCTCCTGAGTGCTGGGATTAAAGGCCTACACCACCACCTCCTGCCTCTTCTTTCTTCTTCCCATACAAATAAATAGGAGGTTGGAATTACTTGTACTGTTTGTTTGTTTGTTTGTTTGTTTGTTTGTTTGTTTTTGAGCTAGGCTCTCCCTATGTAGCCATGGCTGGCCTGGAACTATGTAGACTAGGTGGCCTCAAACTTATAATGATACCCCTGCTTCTGACTCCTGAGTGCTGGGATTGCAGACATCCACCACCACAGCTAGCCCAGAGTCTTAATCATTTATGTACAAAATCAACATCTGGAGAGCTTATTAAGAATGTTGACTCCCACCAGGCAGTGGTGGTGCATGCCATCAATCTCAGCACTCAGGAGACAGAAGCAGGCAGATCTCTGTGAGTTCAAGGTCAGTCTGGTCTACAGGAGCTAGTTCCAGAATAGCCAGGGCTGCACACAGAAACCCTGTCTCAAGAAAAAACAAAATGTTGATTTCCTTCTTGCTGTGAGCTGTTCGAGGTTGACCTGTGAAAATGACTCACTACTCTTTCAGAAACCCATATGAAGCCATATAAAACAAGAGATTCAAATATTCATACTCACTTTAAATTATCAGTGAAAATGTCCAGGCCATCAGGTATATATTGTCTGTAAAGCCAAGTATCTGAAAGGTATTGTGTACTACTCTGGCAGGATAATGATGGAGCTGGAAGACAAATGATGAAACTTGGCACAGGATTGGTGACCAAAAAGAGTGCTGAATTTATACTACACATGCTTCAAAATGCAGAGACTAGTGCTAAGCTTGAGGTCTCAGCCACAGATCCTCCAGTCATCAAATACACCCACGTGAACAAAGCACTCACGATGCATGACCACACGTATAGCGCTCATGCTCAGGGAAACCCATACCTGAACTGCCTATCAATAAAAAGAACAAACGCTCCCTAAGCCAGAAGAGGAGGCTGCACAGAAGAAAAAGACATCCCAGAAGAAACTAAACAAACAACAACTTAAAGCACAGGGTCAAATTCAGGATGAAGCACATACAAATAAAAGGTTTTGTAAATGTTAAGACTGGACATTTCAGAGGCAGAGGCAGAAGCAGGCAGCTCTTTGTGAATTGGAGGCCAGACTAGTGTACATAGCAAATTCTGGGCCAGCCTAGGGCTACAGAGTGAGACTCTGTTTCAAACTCGTTTCCACTAGACTGGTTAGCACAGGTCACTCAGGAGGCAGGGGCAGGATTATTGGACTACATAAAGAGGCTGTGTTCTGGTTTCCTTTCTGCTGCTATAATAAAACACACTGACCAAAAGCAACTTAAGGGAGGAAAGGGTTTATTTGGCTTACCCTTCTAGGAAATTCTGGGCAGAAACTCAAGCAAGAACTTGAAGCAAAACCATGGAAGAATGCTGCATACTGGCTGCCTCACAGACCCATGCTTAGGCAGCTCCCTTTCTTTTCTTCCTCTGCCCCCATGCAGGGTTTCTCTGTGTGACCCTGATTGTCCTGGAATTCACTCTCTAGAGCAGGCTGACCTCAAACTCAGAGATCCATCTGCTTCTGCCTCTGCCTCCTGGGTACCGGGATTTGGCAGCTTTCTTTTACAGGGAATGATGTTGCCCACAGTGGACTGGGTCTTGTACATCAATTAGCAATTGAGGCCTTCTCCCACAAACATGTCCACAGGCCACACGATGTAGGCAGTTCCTCAATCGAGGCTGTCCTCTCTGAGAACTCTGGGTCAAGTCTAAAGTCAATCCACAGAACTAGAACAGACCTTATCTCAGAAAAACAACATTGTCAGGGAGGTCTCTGAGGCCTCCTAAAACAGCATTGACCACTGCAACAGGAGTTGGTTGCCCACTAGAACTAGATGGTAAAACCCTGTTGCTGAAGGTAATACATGCCTTGTCTGTCTGAATAGAGAAATCAGGCTTGAGTTAGTCTAGTATCTTCTTCCCTCTGGGCTCTTGGCCTCTTAGCGCTGGAAGGTGCTATGTTGGGAGAAAATTGTCAGCAACAGTCTTACTCAGCTGTGGGTTCTATGTATTACAGTATCAACTGATCAGGCAGAATGAGGCCCCTCTGTGATAGTGGCAAGTCTGTTATGGGAGTGGCCAGCCGGTGAATATCCAACCCAGGGCCTTGTGTGTATAAGGCAAGCATTCCACCAGCTGAGCTACATCCCTGACCCCAGGATTGGGAATTTGAGGCCAACCTAAGCTACATAATCAAATTCTGTCTCAAATAAAATCAAATTCAATGAAGAAAAAAAAATCTCTCAGATTATTTTAGTGTTTGGTGGAATAAATGAAAGAAAAACTGTTTTTAGGAATTCAGTCAAAAGTTTCAAAAGTTAGGCCAGTGAAATGGCTCAGTGGGTGAAAATACTAGCCACACAAGTTTAAAGACCTGACTTTAATCCCTGAAACCCTTGTTAAAAAAGAAAAAAGCCTAGAAGGACAGGGTTGGCAGACACCTTTAATGCCAGCAGAGGCTGATGGATCTCTGTGAGTTCAAGGCCAGCCTGGTCTACAGAGTGAGTTCCAGGACAGCCAAAACTCTTACACAGAGAAACCCTGTCTCAAAAAACCCACAAATAATAATAATAATAATAATAATAATAATAATAATAATAATAACAAATAATAAATCTTATTTTGAAGAAAGAAACAGACTGAAGGTCCAGATCAACAATTTTAGATCTTGTTCACAGTAGAATGGGAAAAAAGCTTACCCTTACCTTGACTAATGCTAGGAACTGCTGTTTATCCTCTATAGTTAGTGATCTGCTTTGCACAGATTTCCCTAGTTTATTTTTTTTATTTTTTATTTTTTTTAGATTTTAGAAAACAACTTAGTTGTATGTGATGTCAGTGTGGGGTATGCGCACATGCTGAGCCATCTCTACACCCCCCCCCCAGTTCCCTATTGTTTTTTCACTGCCCTGATACAAGCTTTTCAAGTCCAGTATATTAGTCAGGGGTTCTCCTAATGAAACAGAACTGACAGAATGGAAATATATACATGGCTTACAGGATACTGTTGGAGAAGTCCAGCAATGGCTGTCTCACATTTGAGAGACCAAGAATGCAGTAGTTGTCCCGTCTATGAGGCTGGGCGTCTCTGCAGTCCCAATCTGACCCTGGAGGCCTGGAGGCTTCCTGGAGAGCATCTGGTCTTCAGTCTATCATGGAATCCCAAAGAAGCAGGCTCTAATTTCAGTGAAGGAATACAGGAGCAATAGGATAGATGGACTTGCCGGTAAGAGTAGCGGCAGCAGGCAGGAGCAGTTTTCTTCTTCCACGTCCTTTTACCTGGGCTGCCACCAGAAGGTGCCACCCAGATTTACCTGCTTCAAATAACATGGTAAAGAAAATCTCTTCTGGGAGATCCAGCAGCTTGGGTTTTAGTTGTTGCCAGATGCAGTCAAGTTGACAGCCGAGATTAGCCATCAATCACATTCAGGTGCAGATCAAAGGCAGTTGCTGACTCTACAGGCCAATTAGCAGGCACTTTGTAAGTAGCATGTGACTCCATTAGGGACATCAGCACATCTTCAGGCATTTGCAGTGCTGCTCCTTTGGGAAACAGCTCTCCTCTGGAGAGAGTGTCAGTCTGCACATCATCTCTCAATCCCAGGTTCATCTATGATTACACTTGGGGCATTTCGACAGCTCTGAGACGTTGTACCTTACCACTGCTACGGGCTCAGGTTCCTTTCTGAACGACTACCGTAAATTCTCCATTGGTCTTCCTGTCATCAGTATCTCTACCATTCAAATGTGTTCTCTGAACTGCTGCCAATAAGCTATATTAAGTTCAAAAGCTCTTTGAAGGCTCTCAAAATTCAAATCTCCTTAAGCTGAACTCCAAGGCCCTCCACAATCTGTCCCTAATATGCCATTCCAAAAATTTACTCTGATTATTCCATGTACCAAGTGTTGTCTTCCAGCCAAACCAGCTACACCTACCACTTCTGATAGGGGAGAAACTGGAGCCCTTCATACTCTGTATTGTAAAAACACATTCATTGCTTCATTTTGTAAGAGGGATTCTGATTGTACACATTGGTAATAATGCAACATGTATACTCAGCTAATGGTTTGTTTGTTTGTTCCAAGTTAACCTTCAGACTGGATGTCATCCAAATGGAGACTTGGGAAGAATGCAAAACTGGGTGGCCTTAGTGTATTGAACCCTCTGAAACCAAACAGACAATTATGAAAGAAAAGTGGAATCTCAGAGTCAAGGCCAACTGCCACCAGAGGAACAACACGAACTAGACTTTGGATTGAATTATTGCCTCTGTTCTGACTCCCTGGAAAATATGCTAAGGGGAGATGGTTTGGGGAAGGCAAAGTCCCTCCCAGACTGCCAGCTCTCTGAGTAAAGTACTTCTTAAAGATTTGATTCCTGTTTTTTATTTTTTGTCAATCGGCAACAAGACTGAATTCCAATTTAATTCCTAGATCATGTCATTCATTTTCTCCTTATCCATTCTCTATTATTCATCCCAAAGAAACCCAGCCTGGTAGCTTACACTTCTAATTCCAGAGCCCTGAAGACTGAGGCAAGAGGATCACCAGGAGTCTGTGGCCAATCTAGGCTTCATAATGGGGTCCAGGCTAGCCTGGGCCCAGAAAGAAAGGGAGAGGGAGAGATAGGAAAATAATGAATGAATTGGGGCGGTTTGATCAGAAGATATGACTCCTGAGGAATAATAATATTCTATTTCCCATCTGGGTAGGTTTTGTTGCTGTTCTTTTAGTGGTGAGTGCTTGCCCTAGGTCAGGCATGGTCTGGTACTGTTGATACAGCATAACCATGTCATGAAATAGCCTCATCGAGGCTATTTCAGTATAAATTAAAGATTTACGAACTAGCCCTCAGTCAGCAGAGGGCTTACCTAGTAGAGACAGAGGCCTGAGTTCTGTTTCCAGTGCCACATAAACTAAGCATAGTAACCACATCTGTAATCCTAGTTCTCAAGCAGGAGGATCAGAAATTCAAGGTCATCCTTGGCTACATAATGAATTCAGGGCAGTAAAGATTTGGTCTGGGAACATGGCTTAGCAGGTAGAAGCACTTGTTGCACAAGGACCTGAGTTCAAATCTCCAGAAGCCGTGAAGAAAACAGAAGCATGGTTTCCTGTATGCCTGTAACACCAAGGCTGTGGAGGGGAAGAACAGGAGGATGGGGGAAGCTTGCTGACCTCAGATATTTCCAGGTTCAGTGGAAAGAGGTAGAGGACGCTTGACATCCTCTGGCCTCCCTGACCACGCCAGGCCAGGCCAGCACACCTGTACATGTGCACATGCACCAGAAACACATACATCTAAAACATTTTTTTAAATTTAGAAATCCCTTTTACCTTTGTGTAAACAAACAAATGGATTCTAAAACTCATAGGAAAACTGATAGGACTAGCCAAAACAATCTTGAGAAAGTGGGACAGTCAGATGGCTCATATCTCCTAATGCTAAAGAGACAAAGAAACGTGATCCCCAGCAGGAGGACACTCACACCTGCCATCCCAGCACACAGGGAGAAAGAGACAGAGGATCTGAAGTTCAAGGTCATCTTTGGCTTTATAGGGAGCTTTTGAGAACAGTCTGGGCTACAAGAGACTCTGCCTCAAAAAGCAAGAACAGTTAATCTCAGTATTCCAGAGGTGGAGACAGGAGGATCTCTGTGAGTTTGAGGCCAGCCTAGTGTACACATGCTCACACACACACACACACACACAATCGTGCTTTCAGGAAGGAAGAAGCCCATTGTCACTGCTGGGCTGAGCTTTGGTACCAGGAAAAGCTTGTGATTTTCAGCACAAGGAAGAAGACACAGTGAAGACCTGTGGTTTGTGGGAGGCCGCACCTCAGCAACTGCTGTGACACACAACCCGTCACAGTTTATCTGAGGGACTATGAAAATGAAATCCTAATGTGTAAAGGATCCTAGTGGTAGCCCATGACTTCAGTCATCTCCCTCTCTCTGTTCCTCTTCTCCAATCACCCACAAGGCTGCAGCTTGCCAATCACAGCTCCCACGATCCTTTGAGGGACTGACTGCCTGCTTTAGGCAGAGTGTTCCTGTAAGCTGGGACTCAGTGTTTATGGAAGAGAAGAAGGAAGCAGTGAGAGAAGGAGGGAGGGAGGGAGGGAGGGAGGGAGGGAGGGAAGGAGGCAAACCAAGATTCACACCCGTGACCTCCAATTTTCTAACCCAACTTTCGGAAGCCCGTTCTTATTTTCTCCGTTTCCGTGGCAGCAAGAACCCTGGCTCCAGTGGGGAGTTTTCTCAGAGGTTGAGAAGTTTTCTAAGAAGCTGGGTATGGTGTCTCATGCCTACATCTAGGAGGCTGAGGCAGGAGGATTGCTGTAAGGCCAGGAGACATTAAATAGTGAGATTCTGTCTCAAAAAAGGGGTGGGGGCAGTGAAGGTGTTTGCCACCAAGACTCATAACCTTGATTTGAAGAGAGAACCAACTCTCAAAGGTGGTCCTGTAGCTAGCTGAGTGTGGAAGAGCAAGCATTCCATCCTAGCGGAGGCAGGTATATCTACAGAGAGTTCCGGGACAGCCAGGTCTACACAGACATTCTCTGTCTCAAAATCAATCAATCAATCAATAAATTAATTTTTTACATTCCAATCCCAGCTCCCCCTCCCTCCTTTCCTCCCAAACCCTCCACTCCCCCCCCCTCCCATCTGCTCCATGGAGGTAAGGCCTTCCCTAGGAAGTCTACTAAGTCTGTCCCATCATCTATCAACTAGCAATTTTTTTTCTTTTCTTTCTTTTTTTTTTTTTTGGTTTTTCGAGACAGGGTTTCTCTTTTGGAGGAGACAGGGTTTCTCTTTTGGAGGAGACAGGGTTTCAGCTTTGGAGGCTGTCCTGGAACTCGCACTGGAGACCAGGGTGGCCTCGAACTCAGAGATCCTCCTGCCTCTGCCTCCCGAGTGCTGGGATTAAAGGTGTGTGCCACCGATGCCTGGCTCAACTAGCAATTTTTAAGAAAATGCCCCATAGACAAGGCTCAATCTGATGGAACCAATTCCTCAACTGGGTTCCTACTCCCCTCTGTCTATGTTTTTGTCAAGCTAACAAAAAACTGTGACAATGAATAACTAAAAGAATCAAAAGGCTATCAATACAGGGAAAGATTATTGAACTTGCTGTCTGGAGGCTGAGGAGGAGGGAACTCAATCAAATTACGGACAAACCAGCCTAGGCCAGGTATGGTGGGTGGCTGCAATCCTAATACTCTGGAGGCTGAAACAGGAGGGTGGAGACTTCAAGGCCAGCATGAACTACGTAGCAATACCCCAGTCAAGCCAACCAACCAAACCTCAATAGTTGAGAAATCACACGAGAAACCCTTCACCCACATCTTCCCACCTACAGTTAAAGCACAGGAAGGGTGGAGTTTCGTTGCATTGTGACCTTTTGAAAGGGATTCTGTCTGGAGATCTCAGTGGCAAGGAGAGGCTTACTTATTAGCCTTTGGACCTGGAGAAGAACTGGGGCAGAGGGAAGCTGATATCTGAAAGAGATACTCTTCTTGACTTTCTCCAGTCAAGACAGGTTTTGAAACTCTGCAGCCGTGACCCAATCCCCACTGGTCCCAGCTCAGATCAGTCCCTTTAGTCTCCCTTTTGAAACAGCCTGGGTGTAAGCCAACACATCTCATGGCTAAGTCATTCTCCTCAGTCTCTACCAATAAGCTCCAGAGGCCAACAACCTCTGGACCTAGCATGGACCCTATTAAGGCCCAGTGACTTGGAAGCAACTATGGACTCAGATGAGGGGAGCACTGAACTATCACTGGGGTGATAACCGGTTCAGTGATAGCATGCTCACTTAGCATGCATGATGCTCTGGGTTAAAGTTCTAGTATGGGGAAAACATTTAAAAATTAAATGTTGAGCAGTGGTTGTACACGCCTTTAATCCCAGCACTGGGGAGAGAGGTAGCTGGATCTCTGAGTTCAAGGCCAGCTGGTCTACAGAGTGAGTTTCAGTACAGCCAGGGTTACACAGAGAAACCCTGTCTTGAAGAAGAAAAGAAGAAGAAGCCTGGCTTAACTGGGTGTGGTCTTCCATTCTTGAGTCCCAACACTCTGGAGGCAGAGGTAGGTGGATCTCTCATGAGATCAAGGCCAGTCTGGACTGCAAAGTGAATTCCTAGCCGGCCAGGGCTATATAAATGATACCTTGTCTTGAGAACTAGTTGCCTAAGGCTGTAGAGACAGCTCAGTAATTAGAGCATACTATGGCTGTTCTTCCAGGGCACCCAGGTTTTGATCCCAGCACCCAAGTGGTGGCCAACAACCATCTGTAATTCCAGTTCCAAAGGATCCAATGCTCTTTTCTGGCCTCCTCAGGCACTCCATACATGTACACAGTGTACAGACATACATGCAGGCAAACACAAATACACATAAAATAAAATCAATAAAGCAAAACAAAGCAGAAGCCTCACTAAAGAATTCCAATGTGGTTTGGTTCTTGCCTAGAGACACTTCTTATGTCAATTGTATTTCTTCTGACTGGCAAGCAGGAGCTCTAATTGTGGCTGTGGTTACCTCTAACGCAGCACTGTGATGGCAAAGACAGGAGGGTCCTTGGGGCTTGCGGGCCAGCCAGTCTAGCGGAATTGTGAATTCTACATTCAATGAGAGACTCCGTCTCACAAAATAAGGTAGAGAGTAATTAAGGAAAATATCTGACATCAAACCGGCCTACGCATGCACACACATGCACATACATGTGCATGGATACCCACAAATACATACTTACATGTACACACATATATACAACATACACGTGCACACACACACACACACACACACACACACACACACACAACCAATACCAATCCATTCACTATGAAACTCTGTAGCCCAAGGTGACCTTGAACTTGCAGCAATCCTCCTGCCTAGACCTCCCAAGTGCTAGGATTAACATTTTTTTTGTAAGCCTAGTGGGAAAGGAGAACACTGAAGGCCATCCTGCCCATATAATCGCTGATTCCTTCACTCAGTGTCTCCTGGGCCTCCTGACCCTGTACCCAATTTTGATGTTTTGTTTTTGAGACAGTTCTGTAGTCCTGGGTGGCCTGGCACTCACTGTGTAGCTCAGTTTGGCCTCAAACTCAAAGTAATCCTTCTGTTTCAGCTTCCCAAGTGCTGGAGTTACAGCCATGTACCACTATGCCAGGCTTCCTGTACCATTTCCCAGACAAGGACCAGCAGAGTGTTTTTCCTGCTCCATAGATGACGGTATGGGAAGGTGATCCGGTGCTTTTCACATGGTCAGGGCTACCCTTTTTGGTACTTTGCTTCCTGCCTTTTCCATCACTGACAGATGTGCAGGGTGTAGGATGCAAAGGGGCTACCAGTACATGGCAGACTGC